ATGTTGGGCTCACTTTTTAACCAAAATGTCATATTGAGTGCGTTCTCTCGACATAATCAGCTGCTGTCCCGTTAGGTGTCTTTATCTGATATTGTCAGTAAAGTTCGTTCATACGCTGATGATTAATTTTCCCTGGCAAAGGCGTAAGTGAATTACAGCCAATTTATTGACCAGTTGAAAACAGGTTGACAAAATGTCACTCATCTGCCAGAACAAATACACACTATGTATAATAAATATACTATATATCTGTACATATCAGGTGAGTTGTATTTTCCATAATTTGTTCATATTGAGTGTTATTTTCAATATGTTGTCCATATTCTGTTCAGCTAAGCGTGTCTATTCAGAGGAGGCACACAATTAATATATACCACAATCAATATATAACTTTTCAGAATTTATTTCCATCTTATCCAGTGCTCAGAGTGCTGGAAATCAGTTTATATAATCCGGGATGTAAATGTCATCAACCCAGCTTCTGTACAAAATGAACCTCACTTCAAATAATTGTGTGCTTCATCCCGTTTGGAAAGACCCCTTTGTACTAAAACATTTTGTCGATGCTAAGCTTACAGTCGAGCGAGATTTGATTCAACAAGCGAATGAAAGGTGGCTTGTCAACTCTGACATTCACTCATTTTAAGTGGAAATTGAATTGAATCCCTATTTTGTACTATGGCTTTACATTGCAATTCAGTGAGGAACTTAATGTGTCGTTATATAAAATAGAAATGCACGATGCCTTGACATTGCAATTCAGTGAGGAACTGAATGTGTCGTTATATAAAATAGAAATGCAATATGCCTTGAGATTGCAATTCAGTGTGTAACTTAATGTGTCGTTATGTAAACGAGAAATGGCTGCAATCTGTAAATTTGTAAGTAATGTGTGTGGAGGCATCATTCTTTATGTTTGAGAACAATAACCTAACTTCAATGATTGTTATGTCCTTTCCATTATTTATCTAGAGAGCGGCCTACAGTGTAACCATTTTTTTGCTCAAGCCTTATACAGCGATGCCACTTTTAGCTTGGTAGATTGTGTTACCGCCACATTATTCACACACGCCTCTGAAGCTCAATGTAAAACTATTTTCTTGTTCAATACATTGCAGTAGAAATGGATAAATTGTAAAGTCGAGACTGAAAGATGATCTCAACTTTTTGTACTATGTCTTATTGCTCAGCGTATGTAGGTGTTTCAGCAACAAACATTCGAATTCAAACCAGTATTATGTTGTGTTATTACAGCGTAGAATATGCCGTTATGCATTTCCGCTAGTTAATTTGCTCGTTAAATACAAATATATCATAATATCGGGTACGTGAATACGGCTTCCGGTCATTCTTGTAATTCGACAAAGTTAAAAGAAGATTTTTTTCTCACATCAATCGAATTTTCGCCTCAATGCAAATTACCGTCTTACATGCATTATTAAACCTGAAGACGACTGGGTTGCAGTACACGAATTGTGAAGTAACAATACTGTAGTAGTAGTATATTGTATTAATAACATAGTCCCGGTTTTTTAGATTGTTTGCCCATGCCCTTTAACATTTCTAGGTTTTATTCTTAAATAACGTTTATTCGATAATATTGATATCGATGCGATTCATACAAATCGCGCATTGTAATTGCAGTGTGGGTCAACAATATAAATGTTGATCTCATAATATTAAGTAGGTACAAACACGTTATTGCATAACATATTAATAATTAAAATGTAGTTTAAACAAATAACGTATACTTATTTTGTGTAATATTGTACAGTGTTAAGGGACTGTATTTTCGCCGTATTATGATACTAGGCATGTTTATGATTTTTTGGCTTAAGAGGAGCACATATACAATGTTTGCCTCAAACGTGCTGACCCAACTCAAGCATATCTTCCACTATTGTACCATATAGATTATAATTCACGAAATAAGTCAAAAATGGCCAAACATAATTATTTAAAGATTAAAAATGATTTCGCTGTAATCTTGTCAATACAATGTTTCGAAGAGATAAAACACAAGTCAGAGAATTTGGCTGATCTCAGGTATACAATAACGATTTATTTACCGTAAGATGATGGCAGGTCTCGATAATTATAACAAATATTAATATTAACAAAGTAAAGTATTATACTATTCATACATTGATGGTAGTTCTTTTTAATCATCAAGTCAAGTTGGATTTGTATCACGACTTTTGTTTGGGGAGTCAGTAGATATAACCATTACACTATAAAGGATTTGGTTGGGATAGATGAAGATGTTTAAATCATGCGTCACGTGCTATGCATGACAACGCAATGAATAATGTTTTTGTGAATATGACAACGTTCCACTGAACACAATGGGCCGGGGTAGTGTGCACTTTGTTCATGTTTACGTAGGCTTGTCGTAATATAAATGCTTCAACACTTCTTGTCGTCATGCTGTTTCAAGTGTAACAGCCATACTTATAGTGATCACACAGCACATGCTTTTGACAATTGTCGCAGGTGTTTTTCGTGGGAAGGCTTTCAAATGTGTTACAGAGTTGAGTGTCACACAATGGTCTTATTTTGTGTCTTAACCAGAATGTATTGCGAGCGGATGATTACTGACTCATGCAAAATAAAGTCTATGTTGTTTGTGTTCTAGTTGATCTAGTTAGGGACGTAACTATAATGAACTCTTTATACGTGCCACTCAATTGAAATCAACCATTTATCAGGGTGCAAATTAAAACCAAAATGACAAACGACATAACGTCGATATAACTACAAACGATGATTAATATTTCGAAATACGTGCAAGAATCTTGTATTATAAATATGAATACTGAAAATTCTGGCGGCTTGTCACGCATAGACCAATTTATACACATCTTATTTAGATCGCCGTTACATACAGCTGAATATAGTCTTCAATCCGAAGTCGCGATTGAAGTACAATTGGTGTTACAGTGTCTCGATGTATCATGCGGTTGTTTATATGTACTTGCCTGTATGATATGACCTACAATTGATTTGGTGTGATCTCACAGCATGATACTCACATTGTATACATATCAACATTAGTTATGCTAATTGAAAATAGGGTTGTGATGTCATACAGGTGCAGGTTCCTATTACAGTTAGAATATGAACTTTAATATTGAAACGATAACCCCATTGTGAAACCTCGAGTAGAACGAGAATATATGAGCAACATGATGAAAGCAGCTAAATTTGTGAAATATAAACGGTAGATGTTGGAAGGAAAGGGGAAGTGGGAGTGATTTGTCGTTTTTCATCACAAAATGCATTTTACTTCGTATATCCATTTAAGTTTTTTGTATTGATTTTATGCTGTTGTGCCGTATATTCATGGAATTTCATTCCCTCCCAAAAATAGTTGTTATTCTGCTACCTTTTCATATCGAGTTGTTCACGGATAGCGTTTTGTTCGCCACATACAAATGTCTCTTTGCATAACAATAACGTGGATTTTTTACCAGCGACTTCCATCCCGACTCGATGATTGGATATTTCTGACAATAACGAATCATCAAAGCGAGTAAATCGTAAATCCTATTATTGTAACCATATACTATAACTATACAACTATGCACCGTATTTGATAAGACGTAGATTGCAATTCGAGAACAAATGAATCTCAAAAACGTTTACAAGTGCGTTACTATTCGTTGCCACACGGACACGACAACATTTTACATTATCAGACATGTGTTCATAATATAATGGTTATGTAATTCTTTTTCATTTGAATTTAACTTCAACTAATCCCATAATGCAATGTCCGAGCAACATCAGGGGGCTTTAACAATAATATCACATCATGATGAAGACAAACTAACAATGTTATAAACGTAGTTAATTAATGTCAAATTACTTTTAAAGTTTTAGATAACATATAAATAATCAATCTAGTTATTGTCTAATAATAAATGAATAAATACATTAGTTTTTGATCTCGTATATCACGGTATGTGTGCAAAATAAACTACATTTTCTCTTCAATAGCATTTACATTGTGCTAGAAAATAAAATAAAGTTTGTTATGAATTTGTTCCCAATTTACATTTTGCACATTGAGTAATATACATGCACTTAGTCTAGGTATTTCCAATTTATTTTCCTATTTCCTGGCATAGAATTGCTTCATTCTATCTCTTATATTTGGAAAATGGCATTCTCAAGATTGCTAAATGAACGTCTACACCTGTGAACTTTCGAATAGAAAGCCTTTAAACACACTTTAAACATATCATTCCTAATTGAATAGCTCTTACCAGTATTGGGCGACTTTCAATTATTAATTGTCTAATAAATGTGAAATGTGAAGATATAGAGTCTGCGTACAAATATTGTTAATGGAAACATGAATATTACAGTTTTCCAATAACTGTATTGCTCCATTATGCCGATTTGCTAAGCAACCATACGTTCACACGAACTGTGGCTTTACATAAAAAATGCCTTAGACAAATTTCGATTTTGCAGATTAGACGAAAATAAATACTTTACATTAATTTCAGTAAGTGATTTTGGGAAGAAAGGGTCTTCCCAATAAGCAAACTTTTGTCAGCAAAGCAAGTCTCAACTTAGCAACTAGCGTCCCAGTGAGTTAACAAAGCAACCATTTAAACATTGTGTGTTTTTATTGGTTACCATTGGAAACTCGGCGTCGAATTCGATAGAGATTTGTTGCGTCCTTTGCGTGCGTGCATCAGTGTCGCGTCATTTCTTGGACATTCCTGGACACAATGAAATTCATTAGTACGTTGATTTTATTTTGTTTCATTGACATGTATTTTTTTATCCCAAAAACATTATTTCAACATGTCACCAACTGTTTCTCATGTATGACAGAGCTGATTTCATTTAATCTCGGCATTTACATCACACATTACATGTTTGTGATTATGTTCAAAATTGTTGACTGGAAGCCAGCTATGTTCTCGCCAATTTTCTGGAACACTTTGCCCATTATATTATTGGTACAAAGGCAATTTGAAATCATGATGCGTGTAAAACAAAGTAACTTCGTACCACAAAGTCACTTCGTTGCAGGTTACGTCGCACCACACAGTCACTTTGTTGCAGGTTACGTCGCACCACACAGTCACTTCGTTGCAGGTTACGTTGCACCACACAGTCACTTCGTTGCAGGTTATGTCGCACCACACAGTCACTTCGTTGCAGGTTACGTCGCACCACACAGTCACTTCGTTGCAGGTTACGTCGCACCACACAGCCACTTCGTTGCAGGCTACATCGCACCACACAGCCACTTCGTTGCAGGTTACGTCACACCACAAAGTCAGTTCGCTGCAGGTTACGTCGCACCACACAGTCGATTCGTTGCAGGTTACGCCGCACCGCACAGTCACTTCGTTGCAGGTTATGTCGCACCACACAGTCACTTTGTTGCAGGTAACGTCGCACCACACAGTCACTTCATTGCAGGTTACGTTGCACCACACCAGTCACTTCGTTGCAGGTTACGTCGCACCACACAGTCACTTCGTTGCAGGTTACGTCGCAACACACAGTCACTTCGTTGCAGGTTACGTCGCACCACACAGCCACTTCGTTGCAGGTTACGTCGCACCACACAGTCACTTCGTTGCAGGTTACGTCGCACCACACAGTCACTTCGTTGCAGGTTACGTCACACCACACAGTCACTTCGATGCAGGTTACGTCGCACCACACAGTCACTTCGTTGCAGGTTAGTCGCACCACACAGTCACTTCATTGCAGGTTACATCGCACCACACAGTCACTTCGTTGCAGGTTACGTTGCACCACACAGTCACTTCATTGCAGGTTACGTCGCACCACACAGTTACTTCGTTGCAGGTTACGTTGCACCACACAGTCACTTCGTTGCAGGTTACGTCGCACCACAAAGTCACTACTTTGCAGGTTACGTCACACCACACAGTCACTTCGTTGCAGGTTACGTCGCACCACACAGTCACTTCGTTGCAGGTTAGTCGCACCACACAGTCACTTCGTTCAAGGCTACATCGCACCACACAGTCACTTCATTGCAGGTGACGTCGCACCACACAGTCACTTCGTTGCAGGTTACGTCGCACCACACAGTCACTTCATTGCAGGTTACGTCGCACCACACAGTCACTTCGTTGCAGGTTACGTCGCACCACACAGTCACTTCGTTGCAGGTTACGTCGCACCAACACAGTCACTTCGTTTCAGGTTATGTCGCACCACACAATCACTTCGTTGCAGGTTACGTCGCACCACACAGTCACTTCGTTGCAGGTTACGTCGCACCACACAGTCACTTCGTTGCAGTTTACGTCGCACCACACAGTCACTTCGTTGCAGGTTACGTCGCACCACACAGTCACTTCATTGCAGGTTACGTCGCACCACATAGTCACTTCGTTGCAGGTTACATCGCACCACACAGTCACTACGTTGCAGGTTACGTCGCACCACACAGTCACTTCGTTGCAGGTTACGTCGCACCACACAGTCAATTCGTGACATTTAGTGGTTTATCATTTCGTACATTTGATTTCCACACGTCACAAACAATTAATTATAACTTCTATGATACGGCGGGTATATCATTTTGATATACATTCACACCAACAAAAGATCCAATTCAATAATAATAATGATAACGGTAATTACTTCTACCATGCAATGTAGCTTAATAGCTAGATAATAAAAGTCAGAAAGTAGTAGGTTTTGATTATTGTCGGGTTACATAGTGTATGTGTTCTGTCACGAGGTCACGGGAGAATACCAAATATTAACCTAAAATGCCAAATAATATGCAATAGTTTTACCTAGTGTTCGGGTTTTTAAAGGGCGGTTGTCGTCGCGCCACGCATGTGCGAGATATATGTGTCTCATATAAACAAAGATAGCGAGTTTGACAGTTGCGCCGACCAACGAGTACGACCTGAGACGTTTCAAAGCTTCAATTAGGTAATTTTCATGTGATTGAAAGTTATCGAAGGAGTCACCGGTGACAATTAGTGCAAGTCGCGCCCAGGTCAAACCTCATACTTACTTATGATTTCCATTAGAAGAGCGCATTGGAATGTGGGAGAATCAATGTTTATCACACAAATGACACACATGCGTGGCTCGACGACCACTGCGCTTTAACCGATATAAAAGTACACCATCGGTGTAATTTAGACTGATGGGCACCAGTATAGTTCAATATGTACATATAATTAGAAGCAATTGTGTATATCGGTCAATCTTTTCACATATGACGTCATACATGAAATATGTGAAACCATAGTTTATTAGGTGCAAAAAATATATGCTTGATACAATTTTCTCCGGCCGCATTGCCCCTGCAAACGTTCAGTGATAAACGCGATCCTCACCACGCACCAACGCAACTACCTGATTGGCAAAATGTTGGGGGCTACGAAATTACGCACTGTAGTCCCCGCCGAAAGGTCGAAAACGATTCCACGACCAGAGGGAGAAACTGCATTCTTTACTCGACACGTATATCAACGACATACATTTGTTAAACAATACATAATAACTGGCCAGGAAAATAACAAATTTTAAAATTAAGAACATAGTATAATAACTCAAAGCCCAGGACTAACTAGTACGTGTGTAGGAATGTTCGGTACCTGACGCGTCGTCGTCGGCGGCATCGTCGCCCGCGGAATTTTAGGTAACCCACGACAGGAGTTAACGAGTTGAAGAGTCGAATTCTACCACAACGCCAGGGCTTCCTTCCCAGTTTCACTTCATACTGATTTTAAACGCGGTTTCGACTACGGTATAATTACGTAGATTTGCTTGCCATATTTCAGGGCCATGCAAAGCGTAGACCTCCTTTTTGTAAAAGAAGTCCAGCCGCAGAAACTGTCTCACTTTTTAAATACCATGATGTCCTGCGACACATGTTCATTCATTAACACGGATACTGTCCAGTTTTTTTTCCAAGGGTGATATCGAGGTCACATAAAAAGACGAACCTTTTTTCCGTGTAGTGTCAAATGCGTCTACTTACTTGGCTATAAAGCCTACCTCTGGGCTGTTATCGATTTGAACTACGACAATATATTATTAGATACATAATTACATCTCACGCGTAATAACAATTGCGTCTTTTTAACAATACATAATTAGTTTCTTATATTATGTTCCAACGGTGAATGGGTAATTAATCAGTTAGACCTTTACGAGATGACCATATTGTTCGACGTGACTGTATTTTTATATGTAAGCCAATTTTGTTGTTGTGTGTCCTGAAATACAAACGGTAAGTTTCTTGTAAATGTCACGACGTGATGTTTGTTCACAACTTGGAATAACGACGAATACACACAGTGCAGCAGAAAGCTGATTCGTTCCTGTTTGACGAGTATCATTTGCATAAATAACTACAGGTTCAGGATTTTGTCATGTCTTGCTATTTACTGTCTTCTACTAAATTGCCGACCTTGACACTTGGCAAAATATAGAATGCAGATACTCGAAGCGAATAAGCAGCCTGTAACAACATCAGAAACCACAATCATATTTAAATGTAGGGAGAAATACACGAATGCCAATCAAGGGGTACTGACGCTTGTTACAAAATGCATATGAACATTTGTGGATGTTACCAAAATTAATTTGAATTATTAAACTCGTGGCTTACATTAGTATTTCAGTAATGGATTTATTAATGTTTCTAATTTAATCCAGTCCAACATATGATATTTTGTTCATTTTATTTTAAATCTTTAAGGTATTTAATAAAGAGTTCGCAAAGTCAGCTAGCATTCATTACCTCAGTTATTCTCTGTACATTTGACTCTTGCCGTCGCTTTAGTGCCAACACATATGATCTACACCAATTAAGCTCCCAATATGCACTTGTAAATTTATTTTTATAATAACCATACAACCGATTGTCCGTTTTACTAAATAATATGAGTAATTTATGCACATATGACATAGTATTGATTCGCATATAGTGTAGCATACAAATCAGATGCACGAGTATGAACCGAATATTTTTTCAGCTATTCTGTATTTTTCATGTCATTATAGTTATTCATTTGAACCACTAAAAATATGTATATCATATGTATGGTAACGATCCGGACGTGCGAACTTAACACAGGGTCTGTAGATAATCATGAATTAATAAAATATCCTTCAAACATTGGTGTAGATAACTGCGCATTATAGGCATAAATGTGTTTTAAAAAAGGGCCTTACCATTTTCCAAGGAGAATTCTAGTTTATGGTGTTACGTATGCAACCGATGATTTTACATATTCGTCATACTCAGTGGTTTTCTAAGAGATTTGTGCTGTCGCTTACAGTTAAACTGTGAATATGATTCGGTGAATAAGGCAATGAACTCTGAACTGGTACTCGTGTTTTAGTTTTAGTATCTCCATGATATTGCGTTAGCTGGAAGTGGAATGTAAGTCATATAACGCAAACTAACGTATATGTATAAGTATTTTTGCGAATAAAAAAACTTTAATAACCTAGACTAGATCAGAGATAGTTGTTACTGTCTGATGTGCTATATTACCAATTTTTTCAATTATTTGTTGTACACAAAGAACAATGTTATTATTGAACTGGGATGTGCACGTGCGCGAGATAATATTTATCGACGCTTCACGTTGACGTCATTACTGTAATAAACTGAGCAAAACTGAGAAAGCAATAACATTTATTGTTGAATGAGCAAACAGAAGAATTGCGGCGTCTGTTCGGTATATTGCATTTCGGTCACACAATGTTCAAGTGAATAGTGATCGATCGAAGTTAATTAAAAAAATCAACTAACCATCTCGCATACGTTAATGCATTCATGGAACGTCCCCAAAAGACAACTGAACATATCCCGCGTTAAGAACTGTGACACAAACTATTTCAAAAATGAGATCACCTTCGTGTTATTCTTGTATGTGACGAACGTACTGAGATCAACGATTCTACCGCTCGAAAAAGAATGTCAGATATTATATCAAAACATGCCAATTACTACATTGAAAGCATCCCCATAAAACATGAAATTGACGCTGATCATTCGGACGTGTTTTTTACCAGACCTACAAGTAATTACGCATGTTATTTATATTCATTAATTTCAATAGCCTGCCACGAATTAAGACAGATACGATGCGATTGGCATGTTAAATCTCATACTCAACAAAAACAAAAACAAAAATCTCAGATGATGGATGGCTGTTCTATGAATTCAACAAAAACAGATCACAAGTTTGTTCCGCTTATCCCGTTTATGCTTATTAGGTTTAATTACTGCTGTTTGCGTTGTACAATAATCACCGAATGCACGTACAACAATCACTGCATGCATAGTACATAAATCACTAAATGCTTTTTACATAAATCACTAAATGCATTGTACATAAATCACTACATGCATTTTACATAAATCACTAAATGCATTGTACATAAATCACTAAATGCATTTTACAACAATCACTACATGCATTGTACATAAATCACTAAATGCATTTTACTACAATCACTTCATGCATTCTACTACAATCACTAAATGCATTGTACATAAATCACTAAATACATTGTACATAAGTCACTAAATGCATTGTACATAAATCACTAAATGCATTGTACATAAATCACTAAATGCATTTTACAACAGTCACTACATGCATTGTACATAAATCACTAAATGCATTTTACAACAATCACTACATGCATTTTACATAAATCACTAAATGCATTTTACAACAATCACTACATGCATTGTACATACATCACTAAATGCATTGTACATAAATCACTAAATGCATTTTAC